TAGGTTATCAAGCATATATATACATATATATATATATATATATATATATATATATATATATATATATATATATATAATATATATATATATATATATATATATATATATAAATATATATATATATATATATATATATATATATATATATATATATATATACATATGTATATATATATATATATATACAAAACAAATGAGGAGGTGAGATCAGGTATAGGTATGACCCTACTAATCTTCAAATAGCACCGCAGCAGTTGGTAGTCAGGTCAGAGGGTAAGGTGACCCAACCTTCTCACCTGGTACATATATATATATATATATATATATATATATATATATATATATATATATATATATATATATATATATATATATATATATATATATATATATATTTACATGTGTGTGTGTGTGTGTGTGTGTGTAGGGGGGATTGCTAGGCTAATCATTAATCTCCCAGGAGTTGCATCACTCGTACTCCGATCGACATGACTGGGGGATCATTTTGACTCAGAACTCATGAGAGTGTAGGCCTCTGGCTCCAACTAATCTCAAGCCGAAAATAGAAGGAGGTTTCGCTTATTTGGATATCAATAAAAAATTAACTACTGCGTCGTAACGATGTTCAAAAACAAACATTTAAACTAACCTAAAAAGTCGCCAGGTTCCAGTGAAATATTTGCTAGAGTATTAAAGGAATGTAATGTCGAACTTAGTATGCCTTTGTCGAACTTGTTTGACATCTTTTAAATCGGGAGTTGTACCAGGATCCTGGAGGACAGTGAATGTAATACTAATTTTCAACACTGGAGATAAGCACTATTCTGAAATTATTGTCCAATCAGTTCAATATCAATTGTGCTAAAGTTATTGGAAGCAATATTTAGTAGGTAGGAGGTAGTAGGCAGCTATCAAACAGGGAGGTACTACCGCCTGGGAAGATATTGGGAGCATAATGTATTGTCTAGTGGTAGACCCTCTGCCATATGGCATCACAAAAATTGTGACCCCCAGGTTGTTGATCTGACTTTCTGTCTGATTGTCTCAATTGCTTCGCTGACAACACAACATACATAATATCGTTTCTCACTCTTGATTGTTTTTTATTTTTGTATTATTTATTTATTTATTTATTTATTTATTATTATTATTATTCCATACCTTGCGCCTGTAGAGTAGTTTATTTTTTTTATTGAATTTGTACAAGTGATGGTTGAAATGTAAATTTGAAAATAAATTCATTATTTTGGACTGATTTATACCAATCTTATCCAATGAATTACAGGTGAAAGTGATCAAATGTTTACTGAACCTCACATCCGAAAGAACCTACTACACCGATTTGGAGGAAATGATAAATAGAAACCCTAAAATCAAGTAGTCAATGCGTTGTTTGTTCGAAACAAGGCTAATCAACTTATTAAGTACTAGGGTTCATATCTAGGAGTGTTAGAAACAAGACATGGAGATAAAAACTAAGGTACAGTACTTAACTATCAGACTAGGAGCCAACACGTAGCAATAATTTTAAATTACAGGAGACAAATTCAAATTTAGGTGTGAATAGATAAAAGTTTATCTGAAAATAATAGCTGAGGATGAGTTGAACGATTTACCAAAACTATCATCCACTCAAACTCACAGGGAAGCTTCATATATAGATTAGACAGATAAATGTATGATAAGGGTTGGGTCTAAACAGGGCTCCCTAGTATGAACCAATTGGCCTACTGAAGATTACTCATTTTAATGAATCGTTATACCATAATAATATTAAACATATACCAAAAGTATTTGCATTTCCCTGACAACCTTTCAAAGTGTAATATGGCAATATGGGTCTTACAATTAATCACTAACTAGAAATTACTGCCCTTTTATCTTTTATCTTGTTTCATAAAAAACTCATTTACAGACATTCATCTTATAGACAGTATACTTGTGTTATCACGAGAACAAGAAAAACAGACCAAGGTTAAAGACAAACAGCTTCAGAGTTTGGTACTAGTCTCACCGCTTCTGACTCGGTCACGGGTTATCTTCAAGAATCAGGTTGGATAATAAACTTTCCTTACATTAAAAAAAAAATCTTTCCTCTTAAGTCAAAAGTTTATTATAAGTATTTTCGTTTTAATGTAAGGAAATTTTGTTCTGGCCAAAACCTTTGTGGCGAACCAAAATATTCAAACACTAAACTTTAGGATTTTTTTTCCTTAGCCTTCGTCTTATTTAAATAATTTTTTTTTGTAAATATACTGAGTTAAAATAGTCTCAGTATAATCTTAATGTTGCTTTTTGAACCTATTTTAAGTTTCAGTTTACCTTCATTATGTCTTGTAGCCTATAATCTTAAACTTTGTTCAATTTATTACTAACGAATGGATATGACAACTAAGTTTTGTACAAAACTATGCGTATAATTATCTTAAGTTTTCATCACTGCCATAGACAGGATTATACAATGACAAGAAGCAAATAAGATACAAGAGTAACGTCTTACCTCAGCGTACAGTACTGCAGCAACTTATCTCTCTCAGACTCTCACTACTCAACACAGTCAAACTGCCAGGGCGCTAGTGACAGGGAAAGAGATTCAAGAGGGTTCAGGGGTCTGAGGGGTGAGCCACTGTGCCCGCTTGCCAGTAAATATATACTTGAGTGGCACTTATCGTACTATGATTGTCATCCCTTTATCTTCAATGTTAGGCTTTATTCTTGAGACATCTTACTTACACTTGTTACTACAGCTCACCTCTAGTCAAGTTTGGTGTTTTATAAATAGCATTATCAAACAAACCGATTTTAGAGTACAAATTTAAAGCAAATTTCACAAAAGAAAGGATAAGGATATTGGTGGCGATTATCTTACATCAGGCAGACAAGAATGTGCACGTTGTCCATCGCTCACATGAGAATAACAGATACCACACAACGAGGATTAGAGAAATAATGGCGAAACCACAGTAGAAGGAAGACGTGCAAGATACGAAGATGACGAATAAATGAGCAGGGTGGGCTATCACAGATTTAACCTCTGATAGCGATGCAGGAAAACAGCATCAACTGTATAGTACAGTACATGTACAGTAACAAGTATCTAAAACAAGCATCTGCCAGGATGGGTCCGATGACTTCTGAAATGCTAAATGCAACTAATAATGTCCAGGAAGTGTTGGAATGCGTGGCTCTGTGGTATACTAATCCTACTACATTTGGTAACCGAACATCATATTAATAACTCCAAAATAAATACACGTTGCATTAACTATGTTAAACTATATACCAAAGTCCCATTATCTATAATCCATGGTCTCATAATGTTTCACACAATGCAGACAATAGTTAATTGAGACACTACATAAATGTTGAATATAAAGACGTCCTCACGAAAACTCGCTAGTCATCATGAGAAGTGGAGCACTGTACACAACGACCGTGTGTGGGATGTTGTATTAATGGAGGATTGTGTTGTATTGCATTATTTGTGGAGGAATAAAATTCGTTATTAGAGATGTAAAACAAAATGAAACTGAACTTTCCAAGAGTACTATAGTTGAGCAGATCGACTGAAACCTTGGGACTAGATATAGGATGAAAAAACAAAACAAAAAAACATGCCTTTAATTTTCTTTGTTGCATTCTGAAATCTCACGAACAAAAGTGGAAAAAGATATGCAGTATATGATTTTGATACGAGTCCCCGCATCCCCTGAGCAACGCTCTTGTGCATTATGCAGATTATGCAGAGAACCCAACAGCCGCACCCTTATCCACTACCTCCTAAGTCCTAAGATGTCCCTACACACAATGCTTCCGTGACTCCTGCTGGACCACCACTCCACGACCCCCTGACGGAGACACGATGATCCTCCCCATACTGGCCAGATACTCTGTAAATAATATTGATAATGTGTTTAAGGAATATCCTTCCTTCCTTAGGCTTTAGTAAGCCCCTTTATAATATTAATACTGTATATACTTGTGACACTTGCCAGATGCTTCTGGTGTTATTGTACAGGGGTACCTAGTGACAGCACTAGCATCCCGCTTCCTCTATCAAGGAATAAACTATTGATATTGAAAATTGAAGACAGTGAGTGATGTTCTAGGAGATAACATTCAACGCTAATGACGTTCTAGGAGACGCCATTAACCGCTGCTCATTGTTATAAGAGACGCCGTTAACCGCCGCTCTTTATGTTAGAGGAAACGCCATTAACTGCTGAGCATGATGTTATAAAAGATGCTATTAACTGCCACTCATAATGTTCTAGGAGACACCAAGAACCGCTCATAATGTTCTAGGACAAGCCATTAACTGCTCATTGATGTTCTATGCGACGTCTTTAACCACTCAAAATGTTCTGGGAGACACCATTAACTGCTCGTGATGTTCTAGGAGACACCATTTACTGCTCATAGTGTTTTGGGAGACGACATTAACCGCCATTAACCGCGGACAAGTTGAACATCATGGAAATGGAAGCCTCAACCCCACGAAAGAAAAGGAAGCCCAACTGGACAGCTGACCACAATTTATTATTGGTGGATGCCATTGAAGAAAAAAGTTACTATTGAATGACTGCTTCAAGCCTTTCCTCAATAATAAAGAAAAAAAATCGTGACATCATGCACTGAACCCACCTTGACACAATCTTCATTATTTTGTATGAAGCATCAAACACTGTTTGTACATTTATGCAATAGTAGCGTTTCCTGTTAACATATAAATGCTCATTTACAGTAAGGAGCCACAATTTTTATGTTTGTGCCATCAATCACACCCACAACACCGGGAAACCCACCAATTTCAATGAATTCAGCTTGCTTTCTTTGAATTTCTCTCTGGATGAGTGGGGACTTCACAAACAGACAAAATATGTTTGGTTCAGTTAGTGCATTCAGTGTCTAAGTTATAGTACGGCTGATAGTAGGCTGAGTGGTTCCAAAATCATCACTGCTACACAGTTGCATTCTTCCAGTCGCTAAATAACGCTAGGTTAGAACCCTATTCCTCCCAGTTCTACTTTGTAATGTTTCCCTCACTAAATCAGTCACTGCCATGATACCTGCACGGTCCACTCGGTATCGCATGATGTGTTCAGAATCACTATAGTCATTAAATATATCTCTCGTTTCCCGATTAATGCGGTGCCGCCGCTGATGTTGTTGGTTCGCCATGATATCAAGTAACAGACGACTATTACGGGACTTAAAAGTGCTCCAGGGCCTTTTAAGTTAACAGAACTATTAAGACCCTTAAAAGTTTTGTGTATGTACTATTAGTGCTTGACAGGAAAATATCAACCTTAGCAACTGCTTGCTAGCACTTAAAAGTTTTGTGTATACCGGCCCAGATGTCTGGGAGGGGAGTTATGTACAGACAAACACACACACACACAGACATTCATACAGAAACTTCCAAATATATATGAGACTAGCAGGAGTTACCCGGCGTTGCTCGGGAAGATGTAAAAATACACTAATAATTTTAAATTTTCCCATAAAATTTTATTTAAGCAGATCGACCGAAACCTTTGGATAAAGTATAAGCCTAAGAAATAATACAATATACTTTTGATTTTCTTTTTTGTATTCTGAAATATCATGATATTTTTTTTTAAATATGCTGCAGATTTTGATACGTGAAGTGGTGTTCTAGGAGACGCCAGTAACCGCTCGTGAAGTTGTAGGTGACGTCATTAACTGCTCTTGGCCTTCTAAGAGGCGCCATTAACCTCCCGTGATATCCTATGAGACGGCATTAACTGCTCATTATGTTCTACGAGACGCAATTAACCGCTAATGATAATCTAGGAGACGCCATTCACTGGTCGTGATGTTCTAGAAGATGCCATTTACCACTTGTAATGTTCCAAGACAAGCCATAAACCGCTCATGATGTTCTAGGAGACGCCAGTAACTGCTCCTAATATTCTAGGAGACGTCATTTACGACTCGTGATGTTCTAGGAGATGCCATTAACCGTTTGAGATGTTCCAATAGACGCCATTAACTGCTTATGATGTTCTAGGAGTCACTATTAACCGCCCAGAATGTTCTAGGAGACGCCAATAACCGCTCGTGATATTCCAGTTGTGTTGTGGACTTGCTAGAGGAAAGGTCACGGCCGATCTAGCTCCCGGGGATTAATTGTCAGTAATGGCTAATGTTAGTTGTGAGCAGGACTGTTCCCCTCTGAGGGCCGAGTTACTGAAGATTAAGTACAAAAACTGGAAATTAAAGGAAGTGATTACAAGGATCAAGGAGGAAGACACGAGACAAAGAACGCCGTGTCTGACGAAGACACAGGCGAATGGAATGTTGTGAGGAGAGGAACGACCAAACTGGTGATGAGAAAAGACACCAAGGAAACGACATCAGCTAAGTGTACTACCTCTTTTAGTCCTTTGATAGACGAATTGGACGATACATAGTCAGGGACAGGGCTGACAAGGAAGGTACATAAACCTTAATTGTTGTTGATTCCTAGGTATGTACCTGGTACCTGGATAGAGCTTTTTGTGCTAAAAATGAAAATAGGATGAGTGTGTTTGCCAGGAGCTAGGGTGTAGGATATACAGTAGTTGACAGGATGGACAAGATCTTGTCTGGTAATGGGAACAAACCCATTATCTGCCTCAGTGCAGGAGTTAATGATATTGGCCGGTGTAGGAGTGAGTAGCTCCTTGATAAGCACAAGACAGCTGTCGCACATATTAGGGTGAAGGGGGCGATCCTTATCATATGTGGTGTCCTGCCTAGAAGGAGAGTTGGCAATGAATGGTTGTCAAGGGCAGTTGTTGTCAACGGCCATTATGACAGATATTGCAAGTCAATATCAATACCATTCATTGAAAACTAGGGCATATTTTACGGTAGAAGGGACCTTTATGCAAGGGATGGGGTTGATTTATCTGGGAATAGAGTGGCAACCCTAGCTGCCTCTCTCGAAAGGGCATGTAATGGCCTCTGTTTTATAAACAGAAGAATTATATAAATGGGCTAATTACACTTGATTTATATACTGATTCATCCCCTGTAACTTTCTACTAGCTATGAGGTGACATGTTCAGTGCACGTGATATGCTGTGCGCACGGGAAGCTGCGTCATATTATGCTGAGTTAAGGCATTAAGTAGCCAGCTCCCTGGCCACCTAAAGCGGGCAGTAGTTTGATATCCTTGACTAGAGGAAGACGTTATTTGAGAGCCATCGTGGATGGTTCCATCTTCCCTCGAGGGAGGACGACGTGCCTATTCCGTTCTCTGTCAATGGATCACTACGCATAGAATTACGACTCAATCCCTCACACAAGAAGGACGTGATTGAACGGTCTATTTACATAGCCTCCGTCCTTCTCTTAATACTCATAGCTACAGTGATTAAGTTACGGTTGATTTACACTCTGGAATTTTATCAACAGCAGTTCCTCAATAAAAGGAGAAATAGACAATTGGGTTTCGCTACTATAACCCAATATAATATAAATGTACCAGCTTGTTAACTTCGACAGAACCTATAGTTAACCGGCTATAACAGGCAGTTCAAAAGATGTCCGAGTCTTTAAACTGCTAGGGGGAAATGTGAGCACGGGGAGACTGCAGTGGGAGAGGGAAACAATATGACAAGTTAAAGAAA